GCCTAAACCCATGATCCACTACCACTAACTGGCCCAAAACATCTTATTCACAAAGTCCAACAAGGGCGCAAATCCCGTTAGTCCATAAGCAGCCAATACCCGAAGCCCCATTGTCAATGGCCTAACAGAGGACGTACGCGGGGCGTACTCCTCTGGTACGCGGGGCGTACGCGACCAGATGTTGACCACCATTGGGGTGGTTGACCCAGTACGCTGGGCGTACTGGATCTAAGTTGTGCGTACCCCACAACTGGCCAAAACCTTATTAAGTACTTAGTGGCTTAAGCACTTAAGTCCTAATCTCAGATCCAGAGGCCTAACATGTCCAGGGTCCATAAAGTCACGAACTTTATCACTTTGGACGTCCATAAAGTCCCAAATGCTTGGTCTTAATCCATTAAGACCTGATTTCTCTTGCACAGGACACCTACAGCCTATGGGACGTCATTTTTATTACTGAGAGTCCTTTGAAGAGCCTGGAAGGACAGCTCTTTACATCCTCAACACAAAATACAACACTTTATGGCTTTTGGGACAAGGAATGATTCTAATAAAGTAAAATGATGAGATCTAAGCATATATGCATAAATTTTGGAACTTTATACCTTCTGGAGCTTCTTGAGCACAAACTATCTTCCGATCTATGAACTTGATCTTCTACTCCAACACTTGAATGCAATGCCTTCCTCTTGAAACACTCTAAAACACACCAAATAAGCTTATACTCACAAGGAAGAGCTAGGGTTTTGGGGAGGACGAATGTAGGCAGTGGAGGCTGAGGATAGTCAGAGGAAATGATCCATAAGGATGTTTATATAGTCCCCAAACCTTAAATATTAGGGTTTTCTGCTGACATGAGTACGCCCAACGTATATGAGTGTACGCCCATCATACATGAGTGTACGCCCAGCGTACTAGGGCGCGCCTAATACGCTCAGCGTACCCTTATGTACGCTCAACGTACTCCTTCCTGACTTAAAGTTGCAACTTTAGTACCTTTACTCCTCATGGCCCAACTTAACCAACTCCAAGGACTACAATGGCAATTAAATAAAGAGAAGGTATTCGAAATATACCGGCGAAGTTCGCGATGTTACATTTAAGGTTTATTAATATATTATAAGTTCTAATATATTAATAATATTATTTAATTAGTATTGGTCAAGAATTAATTTAGAATTAATTTGGTGATCAAATGGAGACTAATTAAATATATTGGGTTGATTGTGTAAATCATACATTCTTATATAGTGGGCTAATGATCCATGGTTTATGGAGTTGGGCTAAAACCTATAAGGTGCTCCATGGTTTATGGATCATGGGAAATGAAAAGCCATGTCAATTAGGGTTTACATGTGGTAACCCTACTTGTGACACAACTATAAAAGGACCCCGTGACTAGCAAAAGCGGACCACTAAGTGTAAGAACAAGAAGGCAAGACGATTTTGTGTGATAGTGAACTTCTCTCAAGTTATTCTAAGTGTTGTGGTGTTGTGTGAAGAATTCGAGGCATCACATTTGGGGTGCTAGGCTCACAAAGTCATCAAGGAATCCAAGCTACTAAAAGGTATGTTATTCTACTTGATTTTTTGTATTACAAGTTCCCCATAATATGCTAGTTAGGATGTAAACCTTGGAAAATCAAATTTGCATGTATATTAGACAAAACATAGATCCAAGGTTTCTAGGGTTGCATGTACACCATAGGAGTGTTAGAATGCTCAAAACCCATCAATGGGTACTCTAATATTTCAAATAATTTATAGTTTGTTTTGTTATTTTTACCCTTTTGGTATAAAGTCCATGTATAACTCTTTTGATTATACATGATATCTCACATGATTTTGAAACCTCTACATATTTCCAGATGATAACAATTGCTTACTATAATAAACTTTGAAATAGAAAATGATTTTTCAAACATAACATCTTATATATATTTCATTTTCTTTGCATTACATTCGTCACTACCCTTATAAAAGACTTCATTAAATTTGGGGGGTTCTAGGATGGAAAAGTTTCTAATTACAAATCTACAATTGACTATTCCCAAAAAAATGATGGAAAGGATGTATACACTTTCCTACTCTTTCGTGAATCCCTAACCCTTCACCCATGGGCACCCCTAACCCTGAAAAATCTATCAAAGATGGGCTTGAGTGCCTAGTTGATCAACTAGGTCATCAATATGAGACTATAAATCATGAGCCCACAGCTCTGCTGCATGTGTTATGCTCTCTACTGATTCGATCCGTAGGTCTGCTTCCTGTCTCCATTGTTTCATTACTGACATTTGAACTCCCTGAATCATCAACTCTCAGAGAGTAGTGCCAAGATGATGGTAAGCAACCTGAATTGCTACTTCATCCACCATGCATTCCTCCTCTAGACATGCTTCTGTCTCAGTTAGAGTTGCCGCATTCTCCTCTATGATTCTAAGTTCATCACTAACAACACAAACATGTTTCCCCAAGTGTGCACTATGTGCAACCAGTATTAGCACTTTGTTCTTGATGTACACCATGAAGTATGGTTGTGGGGCCTGAGATGATGCACCCACTCAATACTTAGCAGTCTCTCTTTCTTCTTCCTAACTCCAATTTAGAATTCGAGTAACCCATGTTCGTACAGGACATGGCAGTGTTGGTTTCGCAACAAATCCCATAGGCGGAGAGTTTCTGGGAACTGGGATGTTCATCTGGGGAGTCTGTGACATCCCGAAATTTAGGTCATAGACTACGAACGACTAAATTATAGTAAATCTTTTTGTAATTTAATTCATTCAGTTTTAGTGCATCTGATGTAAATTAAATGATTTCATTTCAAATATTATAAGATACCTAACGATACCTTACTTCCAAATGTGTAAGCCGTCAAACTGCTCAAACTGCAACACTTGTTAATACAGCTGAAAAACTAAAATTTTGTATTAATTAGTTATGAGTGAAGCACATTAAAACCTTATAGTGCATGTTCCCCTATTTCCGAAAATATGAAAAACGTCCAAAACGGAGTTCGTATGCAAAAGATAGGACAGTTTTAAGAAAACAAACAGTAAAACACTGGTTTTCTTCAATCGTGTAAAACCGAATCGATCCGTTTAGGCACTTACACACCTCCGATGGAAATTTTGAGAGTGTTTTTGAACTCAAGCTATAGCCTAATATTTAATTTCATACTCAAATTAGTTTTAGCGAAAATATTTGCGAAAATCGAAAAATCGAGCGTTACGGGCTATTTAGACGCAATACTTTAAACGCAATTTCCCAGAGTTTCGTAACTCGAAAAATTAATCTGTTGGGGTTTTTTGAATCCGTGAATTAAGCTCTATTAGGAGATAGAATCACATCAATTATTTCATAATAACAACCCAATTAAAGCAAGAAATTATGATTGCCCTCAAAACCCTAATTTGAGTTTGGGGAAAAAAGAGGAAAAAGAACTATCTTCCATGCAAGGAGAATAAGGATTTAAGCAAGGATTAATCTAGCAACTTCAAGCTTCAAAACTTCATGAGACTGGTGAAGAAATTTCGGTTATAGAGGTAAATGGAGCAAAAATCACGAGCCGAAGACAAAAGGGTGAAGAGAGTAGACATTTTTGGTCCCTCAATTGAATTTACATCCATGCTTGGTCCCTAACTTGGCTAAAAAATAAATTTTTTTTTTGTCTACAATTGGTCCTACTCCACCATAACTAATGCAAATCTAGTCCAAGATGCTTATGTGGTCAAATTCTTGGGTCAAACACAAGTTTCTCCAACTTGTCACTTTTAGTCCATAAACCTTAAAAGTGTTCTTTTGACACGCAAACTCTATCGTAATCTATTTATGACTTAGCAAGTATGTTTATCTTGGTTATTAATCAAATCAATTTTCTTTCATTTATTTATTTATTTAGTTCATTTCAGTTTATCTTATTTTAAAATAAAGAACTTTTTATTTTTACTAAAATCCTAAAACTTTTAACCACAAAAACATGATGTTACATGTTTTTTTTTCACAATTTGTTTGTAAAAAATAATTTCTCAAAAAGCATGTAAAAACGTAGTAAAAATTGATTATTAAAAGTTTTAAAAAAATAAAATTGTAAAAACAGATCATAAAAAAATATAAGAAACCTTAAGACTGTAAAAAAAATGATCTTAGATACAATATGAAAATTTGTTGTCATCGGTCGTAAGACTCAATTGACTAAAAAAAACAAGCTAAGTGGTCTAAATTTTAAACAATATCTTATGACTAAATGAATTCAAGTACCACCATGTTAGTAACGTTTTTAGACTTCTTTTTTTCCTAACTAAAGCCACATAAATGTTTTTTTACAGTTTGTTTTTTAATTTCATTATTTTACTTTGTTTTTATATTTTTATAACTTTATTTTTATTTTATTTTTGCATGAATTTTTTTAATCCATTTTTATAACTCCATGTTTATATGTCTTTTTACAATCTGTTTGTAAAAAGTAATTTATGAAAAAACAAAATAAAAATTGATTATAAAAAATAATAAAAATAAATTGTGAAAAAATATAAGTAACTTTAGATAGTCAAAAAGTTAGATCGTAAAAAAAAAAAAAAAAAAAATTAGTAACCTTAGTGAAAAAAAAAAACAAAAAATATTGTGGTCTATTAATTGACTTAAAAAAACAAATTAAATGAAGAGTGACGATTTTAACTTTAGCCTTTAAATATTAATAACTTGAGATTCATAGTACCATCCTAATATTAACTTGATTATTTCTGCTATTAAGTATTAACATCAGAACCAATATATATAGTTAATGTAACTATATAAAAATATATATAGTTGATGATTCAATTTATTTAAAGAAAGGGAAAGGAGTTTCTTTTACACCAACGGTCACGTGTGTTACTCATGAGAGGGTAAAAGAGGAAGTGTATAAAGCAAGAAATAAGAATATTACCGTTAAAATCACAAAAATACATTGCTAATACACCAACGGACAGATTTCAAAATTGAAATATACGACCGTTTATAAAAGGAAGGGCGCGTTGTCTTCAATTCAACGCCGATTAAAACCCTCACAAACATTCATCTCCTTCATCAAACCCTAAAATACGAAGCTTGTAGAAATTGCACTTGTTACAAGAGAGAAAGAAATTGAAGAAGTGTCATATTCGATCATACCGTGGCTACCAAAAACTCAGAAGAAGGGGAGGCAAACAATAGCCGTCTCCAGACGTTCTTATCGTCGATCTTGACGAGTATTGGAGGAGTTTTTGGTCATAATCACGAAGAAATGGCGTCCAATGAAACTGTTCTTCCGATTCAACAGGCAAACAGAGGTTTGATTTTGAAACTCAAATCGCTCAGTTTCAGTTGGTCGTTTTGATTATTGAATGTGGGTTTTAGCGAATTTATGCTTTAAAGCAACAACTACTTTCTAGTATATGAGATACGATTGTTTTTTTCATGAGACATCTGATGAATACGTTTTGAAATATGGTCGTTCTTATGTTGTTTTGGGAAAATTCCTCTCTAATTTTGAGATATAGGCGTCCATAACTCATTAAAATACTTTATCTCACTGCTCTATATTGTTGTTTTGAATGTGAACTGTGAATTTAAGTGATTCTGTTCATCTAATTAACAGAAGTGGTTTGAGTTATGCTATTATATAGTTCCTTGTTCATTATCCCCTTATAAAAGGGATTCATGTCTAAAGTTTGAGATCTATAGTTTGATAAATCATGAATCATTTCAAAATTTGAGTTAGTTTCATAAAAAAACTGTCTTTTAGTGAATTTGTTCATCCGATTGTCCATTCACTGAAATTTTTTTGTCTAAACTCTGCAAATACATGATTTAGATTCTAAGTTTTCTGGGTCTTTATTTCATGTTTGAGTTAAATTCTGTGATTTCCCATTACATCTTAACTTATTATGATTCTTCAGTAGCAGATGTTAACCAGAAGAACCCAGGGCAAGGAGAAAGAAGGAACAGGCGAGCCCTTGGTGACATTGGAAATCTTGTTCCTGCTTCAACCCTTAATGAAATAGGAAAGCCCCAACTTCAGATCACTCGTCCCATTACACGGTTTGTCTCCCTCCCCTCCCCTAATTTGGTCTCACATTTCTTAATTCTTGATGTGGTTTTGATGAGATTTTCATGATTTTATCAGAACTTTTAGAGCCCAATTGGTTGCAAATGCTCAAGCTGTAGATAAGAATGCCAAGGTACCACCCATTTCAAGTTTTCTACTTTAAGATAAATCAAATCAGCAAATAAAAGTTCTATGTGTCTAAAACATTCTTTTTTTGGTTTTCTTTCAACCTAAATGCAGAAACCACAAGAAGAAGCCAGCCATGCTGATGTAGCCCAGAAAAAACATGAAGAAACTCCAAGAAGAAAACTCAAAAAGCCCACCAAGTCACTCACCTCTGTCCTCACTGCTCGTAGCAAGGTTTGTTCTTTTGAAATCGTAATTTCTCGGAGGAAATATTGCAAGAAATAGCAATGTACTTAATAATTTTCAAATTCCTCTTGATTATAACTTTCAAATTGCTTCTCACTTATGGGTAAATAAAATACATGCTTTTAATTGTAACTTTGAAACTGTTTCTTTCAAATACCGCTTTTTTTAACATATAAAGTACATTCTGACTTTATCTAACTTTTTTGACTTAGTACATTATTTGACTTTATCTAAATTCAAATCTTTTTTTGCTTTTTTTGTTCAGGTTGCATGTGGGATCACAACAAGACCAAAAGATCCAATCATCAACATAGATCAATCCGACATCAACAATGAACTAGCAGAAGTGGAATACGTAGAAGACATCTACAAATTCTACAAACTCACAGAAACAGAAGGTGGCTTAAGGGACTACATGAACTCACAACCCGATCTCAACGCCAAAATGAGGGCTATTTTAGTCGACTGGTTAATTGAAGTTCACAGGAAATTCGAACTCATGCCAGAAAGTCTTTACCTCACAGTCAACATAGTTGACCGATACCTCTCAATGAGGACAGTTCCCAGAAAAGAACTTCAGTTGGTTGGAATCAGTGCAATGTTAATTGCGTGTAAGTATGAAGAGATTTGGCCTCCTGAAGTGAATGATTTGATTGCAATTTCGGATAATGCGTATACAAGGGAGCAGATTTTGGGAATGGAGAAAGCTGTTCTTGGAGTTTTAGGGTGGTATTTGACCGTTCCTACACCTTATGTGTTTCTTGTTAGGTATACAAAAGCTTCTGTTCCAACTGATATCGAGGTATGTATTTGAAAAGAATTAATTAACCTTTTTCATAATTGTGAATTGTGAAATGTTGATATTTATTTCTCTTTTTGTTGGATTTTAGATGGAGAATATGGTGTTTTTCTTGACTGAGTTGGGTTTGGTTCACTACTCGATTGTTATGGGGAATAGTCATTCGAAACTTGCTGCTTCAGCTGTTTATGCTGCCAGGTGTACACTGAATAAGACTCCTGCATGGACTGGGACACTCAAGTATCATACTGGGTACTCTGAAGATGAACTAAGGTGAGTGTTTTTGTCATGTTGATATGGAAATGTTTTAAAAAATTTCATCTTTGTCATGTTCATATGGAAGTATTTTTGATCTTTATTACAAAAATAGTGTTTTTTTGACATGGGTATCAATATTCTTTCATAATTTTTATCATTATTTCAAGAAATCTGTTGTTACTCGAAGAGTGTGTTTTGACATGGGTTTTGAATATCTTTAGAAAAAGTTGGTTTTTTGTTTGAGAAATTGTGTTTTGCACATGGGTAGAATTTAAATTCAAGAAATTTCATCTTTTACTCTGAAAATGGTCTGTGACATGGTTATACAATTTTTTTTTCCCCAAAGTTCAACTTAAATTCAAGAAATTTGGTCTTAAATCTCACAAAGGTGAGTGTTTTGTCACATGGGTATTAAAAAAGTTTCAAACTTTTGATCTTTACTTCCAAGATGAACTGTAAATGAGTGTTTTGTGACATGGGTGTGGAATATATGGTTTATGAAATTAGGGATTGTGCAAAGAGTTTGGTGAATTTCCATGCGTGTGCTAGTGAGACAAAGCTGAAGGCGGTGTACAGGAAGTATGTGAATCCAGAAAAAGGTGCGGTGGCTCTTTTTCCTCCGGCGAGAAGTCTTATGGTGGAGGTGGGTGGTGGAGAATCTTCATAAAAAAGATGTTGTGGTGGTTATTTTGATTTTGAGATCATTTTACTTGTATGATCTTCTTGGTTTTTGGTGAAGATTATGTTGGTCTTGTTTAGGATGCTGGTTATGCTTACTGATTGATTATTAACTTTTTAGGTAAAGTGTGCTTAATTATTATATGATTGTCAATATGATGTGTTTCTTATTTTTATGAAATGATAACATATAAATTTAGAGACTTGTTTATATGTTTTACGTGAATTTAGAGACTTGTTTGAAATGACAAAGTATGTGAATTTTTGTAACTTGTGAAATGACTATGTTGTGAAATGACTATGTGAAATAATGTTTTGAAATGACTTTTTCATAAATAATGTTTTTTTTATGTGAATTTTTGTAACTTATGAAAGTAGAGATGGAAAAAACGATGATTTTTTTAGAGGTGCATAAAAGTCGGATGCTAGTTTGGAATTTGTAACAGACTTAAATTATGGACATCTTTGGTTCTTGATGGTAGTATTTTTTTTTAAATATCTATTTTTCTATGCATGTTTTTTAAAAGAAGCCACCAATTTCTTTTTTACATTTTTTATGTTTGTTAGCTTGTTGCTTGATTTTTTAGATTTTTAAATGTAATAGATCGATTTTTATGTTGGCTATCTTTGTTGAAACAAGAGTAGTTGTCCGCGTAAACAATGTTAGAAGATAATGAAATAAAAATAAAAAAAACATGTAGTAAGTAGTATGTAGTAGTTCAGATGTGTCATGGTTGAACATGCAAGTACTTGTAGCAATTCGCTTAAACAATGTTAGAAGATAACGAAATAAAAATAAAAACATGCAAGTACTCGTAGGAGTTTAGCTATGTCATTTTCTCTAAGATCTGACTCATGGGTAAGCGAAAGTAGACTTATGATTGATTCCCCAAAGGGCTCGTCTTAGCCACTCTGACGGGTTAATTCCCGTGTAGGGCTTGTCTTTATTTACCATTTTAACCCCTGACCAATTCTCCCTTGAAGGGCTTGTCTTGACCATTTTAACCCTGACCAATTCCCCGTGAAGAGGTCTTGAATTTATGTATAAACATTGAATTTATGTATTGTTTTTAGGAAGTTGGATTAATTTTGCTAAAACTGAAGAATTCCGTGTCCGAATTTCACATTTACGAATTTACACTACTGTATTTTTCATTACACGATTGTATTTTTACTTCACAACATTTTTGGACAACTTAAAAATACAAAATGCCAAAAAATCAACTTTTATCCCTTCGAAAGCATTACGCTACCATATTTTCCCATTATATAATCGTGTTTTGGTCTTGAAGTCCTGAAATGACATTGTACTTCATTAAAAGTTAGTTTCGGACATCTTTCCGAATTTTTCATATTTTTCGTACTTTTTGCATTTCCGAAAATTCGACCCTATGAATTCCCTTCCTGGCTTCCTATGAAGATCTGACAATACTTGTTGCCTATAAATTTCCTTCCTGACTTCCTATCAAGTAAAATTGTTGCACGACCATTCTAGACAAATTTTTGGCAATTTTCGGCGAGCTATGAAGATCTGAAGATTGCGACTTGAACAGTAGGTTTAGTTTTTATCGTTGTTATGTTACAATATTATTTTTATTGTTTAAATATGTTTTTTGCCATGTCTGGAGATTGCGACTTGAACAGTAGGTTTAGTTTTTATCGTTGTTATGTTACAATATTATTTTTATTGTTTAAATATGTTTTTTGCCATGTCCGGTTAAAAACCATAGTTTTCAGATGTGCAAAAGACTTCGACTTTTTATATGATTAATTTAAGCTTTGGTTTTTAATTTGTGTTTCCATCTACCTGATAGATGCCATTTTATGCATCTTTTAGGGTAGTTTTTATTATCTTCAACATCATATTTTGTACATTTGCATGCCATTTCTTTAAATAATTTTCAGCTCATGTCTTTTATCAGAATTCCCGTACTGCTAGCATTTTTGTGTCAATTTCAGATAGTTCGAGTGAAACAATACTTTGGGAGCAGCTGGATGCATATTTGGATCCTAAATGGAGTTGGAACTGAAGGAGTATGTTGATGAATGCTTGGAAGATGTTTTGGTCAAGAAGCATTTGATCGAGTTGATCATACGAAGATATATTGCTATAATATGAAGCTAAAGGATGTTGCTGGCAGCTTTGACCCCCTGTCAGTATTTTGACCATATCTCATGAACCGTAACTCCAATTGATGAGATTCAAAATTTTCTGAAAACTAGACATAATTTCAGACGACTTTCATGTTTGTGAAAATGGCCAAATATGTGATTACATAGGCCAAAAACGCGATCACAAGTATGATCGCACGTTTGCCATGAAGTTTCCCAAGGTCAGAATAAGTCGTCTGGAAGTCATCTGAAGTAAAAACTCAAAACTTGCGATTGCATATGGCATACCTGCGATCGCATAAATGGCCCAAAGTTCTAGAAATGTCGAAAAAAGCATCCTACATCAATTAGGGGCAAATCTGGAAAAAATTCAAAAACCTACAATCACATTTTTCTGTTTCTTTCTCCGAAAGTTTTCGTCTCGCATATACATACGACCCTCATTATCATACTCAAGAGTTAGATGATTCCAGACGGCAGAATACCCTTCTGAAGACGATTTCAGATGGCAGAATACCATTTGGAAGGCGATTTCTGATACCTTTCAACGACTTTTGGAGATCTGAAGACTGTGAATCATCTCATTTGTTTAGTTTATCTAGATTTGTCAGTAAATGTTTCTTTTTTCTAGTTTAGTTTCGTTTTTAGCCATGTCTGGCTAAAACCTTAGTTTTCAGTTCTGCATAAACTAGTACTTTTCATGTGATTAGTTTTCATATCTGATTTTCGTTTTTGTGCTTCTATCTAGATTTTTCCGTTTTGAGCTTAATGAATGTTTGACTTTTAATTCTTGTTAGTCTGATCACCTAGCTATGGTTGTTATCATTTTAGTTAATCAGTTAATAGAATTCATAATTATTCTTGTCAACGGGTAAAAAGTAACAAGTATCAGATTGGTCCCGTTTTGGGATTTAACTCTGATATAAACTGAAAAAAATTATACCTTTATGCTTCCAAGCTTGTGAGAAGTATTGGATATTGTTGGGAATTATGCACAAAACTTAATGCAATTTTTCTGATTTAATTAAGAGCTTGTTTAATTGAACAGTAAAAAGTTAGGGTTAATTCAAAGAGCTTGTTTTGGGTAACTAATTTAGGTAAAATAGATTATACTAGAGCTTGTTAGTTTTTCTCAATGCCAGCTTAGATAGAACGAATTTCAAATAACCAGACCTGAACTGATTGCATGATTAGGAAAGTCCCAGCAGAACTGAAATTGTTTTTAATATTGATTTTCATTTAATTTAATATCATTGCAAAAAAAAATAGTTAATTCAAAAATCCCTTTTTATATTTGTTGTCTCTTGATTAGAATGTGTTTGATGCAAAAAGGCATTGACTGTTAGGCTGTGTCCCTGAGGATTCGACCCTTCTTCCCTGTGCTATATTTTTAGTGCAATCAATAGTGATTATTTTATTAGTTTAAATTGGGTGTGACAACTGGTCTAACAAATTGGCGCCGTTTCCGGGTACATGGTAATTTTTGATACTTTTATGCCCCTGAATTTTTCGTTCAGGTACACCTTTAGTTTTTGATCCAGAAATTGAAAGAACTGCAAGGAAACTGAAGAAAGAAGCAGAAAAATAGAAACAATCAGTTGGTTTCTTTGGTTCATCATCATCCTCCCTACCACCAGAAATCACCACACCACAAGGTAGTCCCTTTTGGAACGACCGGATCCGATTTTTAGTCTTTTCTGAAAGTACCCCCATCTTCTCCTTTAAACAACCCCTATAAAACATACTCCCCACCACCCTCAGTCAAATCTGAACCCACAGATTCTTCAAAAACCGTATATGAAGAATCAACCATGAGTGGAGACGAAGTAGAGAATACTCTCAGAGAGTAGGCCACTCAAGAAGTTAATCAACAGTCCATTTGTATTACTTTTCCAGAAGCCTAGAACGTGGAACTCAAATCTGGGCTGATTCATCTTCTACCCACATTCTGCGATCTGGAAAACAAAGACCCACATAAATTCCTAAAGGAATTTCATGTGGTTTATTCAGGAATGAAGCCACATGTTGTCACTAAAGATCAGATAAAGTTAAGTGCATCCCCTTTTCAGTTCAAGATTCAGCAAGGGAATGGTTATATGAGCTCCCATCCGGATCGATCGCCACTTTGACAGAACTCGTGAAGCTATTTTCAGAGAAATATTTTCCAAAAACGAGAGTTTTCAGTCTCCGAAGAGAAATCATTGGGATCAAACAAGGAAAAAGAGAGGCTTTACACACTTACTGGGAAAGAATTAAAAAGCTTCTGGTTCGGTACCTAAAATATGGGATCAACGATTATCAGGTCTACAATTGCTTTTGTGAAGGTTTGACACCCATGGTGAGGCGCCTAATAAATGCTTCCGGTGGTGGTTCCTTCGGTGATATGACACCCACTAAAATATGAGAACTGATTGAGAAACTGGCAATAGAATCAAAATATTCTGGAAATAAAGACGAATGGTATCCAAATCAACCAAGGGGTGTCAAGGAATTCAGCAATACCCATCTGGAGTCTCAAATATCTAAACTGACAAAGGTTGTTCTGCTCTTGACAAAGGAAAAAATAGCTGCAAAGAAACCATATGGTATCTGTTGAAGACGGAACATCCAACAGATATGTGTTCGTTACTGCAAGAGGATACAGTTGTAGTAAAAGCTGTTGGAGGCTATCAGAACAATTATCGGAATAATTTTCAACAGAAACAACAATATCAGATGCCACCTGGATTCCATCAGCAACGAAGTTATCAGCAACCGGGCTTTCAATAGAACTTTCAACAACAAAATTTTCAGAACCCGAATTATCAGAATCAATCTTCATATCAGCAACCCAATAGTTCCAGCATGGCCTTAGAAGATATAGCAAAGAGTCTTGCCACGAGCACCCAAGCATTCCAGACAGAAACCAGGGCCAATATCAAGAGTCTCGAACAAAAGTTGTCTCAACTTGCCACTTTTTGGGTCGTTTGGAATCTCAAGGAAAGTTATTGGGCCACACTTAAAACAATTTGAATCACAATGTGAGTGTTATTTCCTTGAGAAGTGGGAAAAG